CGGCTCTGGGAGGGGAGTGGGGGCTGGTGGGTTAGAGCAGGGGGCGCTGGGAGCCAGGACTCCTGGGTTCTCTCCCCAGCTGTGGGAAGGGGGTGGGGTCTGCTGAATTGGGGGTGGGGCAGGAAATCTATTTAAGCTCCTCCTCTCACCTGATTCCCACCTGGTGGCTAAGTCCTGCCTCCCCCCCCCCCCCCCCCCCCGACACACCTGTCTATAACTAACATTCTCCTCTCTATAAACTCCTCCAGCCTCCCTTTTCCCCCCTTTTTCCTGTGCCCTGGGGGGAGCCTGACCCGCTGCAGTAGCCTGTGTCTGGTGAGCTTCATCCTCCTGGACTTGGGGACCCCCTTGGTAGAGAGTGGGGGGCTGACCCCCCATCTCCCCTACTCTGTTAGTCTGAGAGCAAGTATCTCTCAGCTCTGGCTTTGCCCTACCGGTCATTCTCCTGGGGGGTTCTTTTGGGGGTCCAGATGTGCCCCCCAATATATGTTCCAGCTCCTCTTTGCACCCCTTAAGCAACCCCCCTGGCTTTGAATCTATGGCATCCTGTACTCCCCTTGATTTGACTTTTAAACTCTCTTCACCCGCCCCCCTCTTTTTCCAGAAGAGGGACTGAGAACAGGGGTGCCCCCCTGTACCCCCATCTCTGCGATGGGAGGGGAGGCTGGATTTTGAGGGTCCTGTCCCACTGATTTGGCTGTTCCTGACCCGGGTTTGATTTCTCTTCCTGTTTCATAATTGGATTCATTTCCTCCCCCCCTCCGTTTTTAGGGTTCACACCTCGTTTTTTGAGCTCAGGTGTATTTTCCCCCACTTCCATTTCCCAGCTGGATTTCAACCCGCTTCGTGCATCAAAACCCCGGAACCTTTTTCCCTCCCGTTAACTCAAAGAACCTGCGTGGGTTTTTAGGGTTCGCCCCCACCCCCAGTTTTCTTTTGCTGGTTTGGAGGCATCTGCAGGCAAGTTCGAAGCCGGGCGTGGCCGGCCCCTTGGCTTTTCCATTGTATCGCTGTCATTTTGGGGCTGGCGTTCGGAGAATTTAAGGGCGGAGGGAGACTCGCTGGCTAGGGTTTCTTTTCAGGGGGGCTGGAAGCTAGGTTTTGGGGCTGTCTCGGAGCGCGGTTTGGCGTGCACCCTGGAAATACATTGCTCTCTGGTTCTGTTGTAAGACTCTGAGCAGATTTTTTTTTTAAAGGGCTTGACCCCCGTTTTTCTAGTTTTTTTGGGGGGAGGGGGTGTCTCTGATCTCGATTTTAATCCGGTTCCCCCACTGCGATGTGCCCACATCTGGCTAATGATTGTTACTTGCTTTCAACAAGATCGGGGGGTCTTCTATTGGCTCGGTTCATGGTTGGGGTGTGTGTGGGAGCTGGGGGGGTTGCAGGTGAGGCTGGGGGAAGGAATTTGGGGGGAGGGGAGCTGATGGGGAGGGGCTGAGGGATTGGAGGGGAGTTGGGAGGGCTGGGGCAAAGGTGGGGGAAGAGCTGGGAACTTGGAGTGGAGAGCAGGTGAGTGGGCATGGGGAAGAGGGGGAATTTGGGCTGGGGGAGGGAATTTGGGATGCAGGGGCTGGGGGAGGGAATTTGGGGTGCAGGGGCTGGGGGAGGAGGGGAGGGAATTTGGGGTGGGGGGCTGGAGGCGGGGCTCTGTGGGAGGAGGGGCAGGGGATAACAGGGGTTCCTGGCTGACCCCCTCCTTCCCCCCCCCCAGGGTGACTGGGCCCCCCTGCCATGTCCACTGAGAGCTCCCCCCTCCTGAGCTACCGGCTCTTCAGCGTGGTGGACGACGGGGAGATGCCAGGGAGCCGGGTCCAGGAGGAGGCCCCCCTGGTGGGGGGGGATGTGGGGGGCGCCGCGGGTCCCCCGCATCCCGACCCGGCCCGCCGGCTCTCCACCTTCTTCGGCGTTGTGGTGCCCACCGTCCTGTCGATGTTTAGCATCGTCGTCTTCATGCGTGTGGGTGAGTGACCCCCGCGTTCGGGATTCTCCCCTTAGGGAAATCGCCACCCCTAGGAATACCAACAAACCTCCATCCCCCCACGGTTGCGTGATTGATTTCCAGCCAAAACCATGGAGCAGGGAGTTCCACTGGCTATTTCCAGCCAAAACCATGGAGCAGGGAGTTCCACTGGCCATTTCCATCCAAAATCATTGAGCAGGGAGTTCCACCGGCTAATGGGGGGGGGG